GATGGGGACGCGGCTCCTTTAAATCCCCCCCCCCCCCAGCCGGGCTGTGCAGCAGCCCCAAGCTGCCTCGGCGCCTAAGGGAGCGTCTGCAAAGTGACACGAACGTCGGATTTAAAGGGCCAGCGCCAGCCTGGCTTCGTCCCCTCCCTGCTCTTGCCAGTGGCCCAGGCGGTCTCTGGCTGCAGCGGCGAGCCCCGGTGTCTTTCCTCCTCCAAACCTGGCTCCGGGTTTTTACTGGGGGCTTAAACCCCTTGACATGGGGAGGGCTTGCACTTTGGAGCCAGCTGACCCCATTAGCCAGGGGCGAGGGGCAACTTGCTTCAGGGGTGCTTAGAAAGATTGATCCTCCAACCCGGGTGTCTCATGGGGACGGGGGACTAAAGACTGCAATAAACCCGGCAGCCAACATGAGGGGTGGCACAGCGGGCATCCCCTCTCCTCCACACCCAGCGGGTTTCACCCGTGCACCTCCCAGCGGTTGCAGAAGACGCAATTTTTGAATTTGCCCCAGGCAGGGCGGCTGGGACAGAGGAGGGTTTCAAAGCCGAAGTGCCTGCTGCTCTGGGCCTCTAGCAGGCACAAGATCGCCGTACGAATCGGAGACCCGGGGGTGCAGAGAACCAGCTCCCCCAGGCTGCAGGGTGCTCAGCGCCTCTGAAAGGCGAGGCCTGGCGTGCCCGAGAAACCATGTAGAAATGACAAGGCTTTGAAATTAGGCAGTATTTTCGCTACGCAGAGAGGGCCGTGTTAATACCCCTCACCCGAACAAAGCCGCTGCAGTGTTAAGACATGTTAATTGGTCACCTACCTCCAAGGCGAGCAGGGCCAGCCCCCCGAATCCTATTACAAGCCTCCAGCGATTTCATATTCTGGAGACTGGAAACACAGTCCTGAGATTCCCTCCAAGTTGAGAAAGAGAAGGGGACATCACACCCATGGAGTACACGGGAGAAGCACGTTCATTAAAAAAACATCCTTTTTTGCAGAAAATCTGCTCGGTTTAATCAAAGATCTCACCTCTCCCACAAGTCCCAATTGCTTTGTCATGAAAGAGGCATTTTCCCAGGCGTGCCGCTGCGTTTTGTACAGCTCCGTGCGTGGGGCTCCGCTAACCGAGCAAATCCATCCTTCTTTCCAAGCTGCCGCCACAGTTCCTAGAAGCCTGCGGCCTCCTTGAGCCGGGCCGCGGGCATTATTGTCTGGTCTCCCCAGCGGATGTGATGCTCGCCACTGTTTAATGTCTTGCAGGAAATCAGTTTATTGCAAATAAACACGTCAATACCGCGGGACCTGAATTTCAGCTGCTTTTTTTTTTGGTGAACACAAACGATTTCCTGCTGCACGTTGCTTAACACCGGGTTAGGCCGTGTACAAGTGTGTCACGGGCGCGTGTAAATGCAAGCAGGCTCCCTTAGAGCAGTGATCGCCAATCCTTGGCTTCAGCCCCTTTCGCTTGACAGCAATTTCTGCCTTCCTCAGATGCCGTTTCTTTGTGAAGAACGAGGGATGGACGTTGCCTCCGCCGTGGCGCTTCCTCAGTATTGTTGCCCATGGTTGAGGACCAGGAAAAGAGCCGCTTTTATCCCCCACCTACTCCAATGGCCCTCTCTTGGGGTGCTATCTGGTACCCCGCACCGTACCTAGACTCCTGGCGGCTCCGGGTGAACTTTTAGTATTCCCCCCGCCACTTCACCAGAGATAATGATAATAATAAACATTTAAAAATTACCTTTTTGGGGCCCCCTTTCTGTCTGGGCCCTGGGTGGCCACCCAGTTCACCCCTGCCCGGGTCTGGCCCAGCCTGTTCCATGGTCGGGTTGTCGGCACTAAACCACTAGCCTGGGTAAGGAGGGTGTGTGGACACCCAGCAGGACTAAAAACAAGACTTGTCGAAGGGCGGATGAGCTCCCAGTGAGGAGCTTGCCCATACCTGGGGAGGAAATGGATGCTGCCGGTTCATTTTGCCCAAAGAACTGCCATGTAAGCACAGCATCTAAGGTGCCCTGATGGCTGCAGCGGCATTGGGACTGGCTTGACTTGAATTGAAGCCAATGGCAGCAGCCTCGTTTTACAGACAAAGCAACTGAGGCACAGGACCCTGAAGGCCAGGAGGTCCAGAGCTCAGTGCTAATTGTAGGGGCCCAACCTGCTAGCCAGCAGGCAAGGTTTTGAAAGGTGTCGAGCACCCAGATCCTTGCAAAATTAGGCTCAAGCTGATCCCCTCAAATCTGCCGCTCAGATAAAGCTGGGCCTGAGCGGCAGGTCCAAGGAAGGTGGACTGGAGGCCCCGGTGTCCAGAACTGATGCTGAAAACCCCTGCGCAGCCCAGCCTAACCCTGGGGGTGTCCAAACCCCACAGGCTCCTCTGCCCATCTGTGACCTTGAGTGACTAAGCTACAGCTGCAGAAATGGGAGCAGCAGAGATACGGCGGCAGGTCTTGGCTTCCTGACCTGCGCTTGGACCTCTCTTGCAGGGTGCTCTGCCCAGCAGCTCCCGCGTTTGCAGCGCTGTATGCCACGGGGCACACGTGGGGTCCAGCAAAGAGAGGACAAGGCCTACTGGTCTCTGCCGGCAAGATCTTGAGAAAAGATCTCAAGAAGATCCGTGCGCTGCTCGGCGGTTGCACACCCTCTATTTATGATACCTGCCCTCTGCGTGCTTTGCGACCAAGAGAAGAGGGAAGAGAGACAGCTGCCTGCAAACGTCCCCGCTGCTGAATGCACTGCTGAGCATTCAGAAATGCTGCTGGTGCCTCGGCAGCTGCTTTTTCTGCCATTCAAGGGACATCGGTGGCCTCAGAAAAGACAGGGAGAGGGGTGGTTTCCCTGCTGACGTCTCAGCAAAAGAGACCCCCAGCCTTGGGGTTTTCTGCAGAGGATACTACAGCAGGCGACAGGCTCCAGAGACAGCCTGGATCAAACCAAGCCGTGCATCCGGCCAGTCCGGTGTCCTGCCTCCAGGACGGGTAGCCTGCCCTTTCCACTGGCCTGCTCCAACCTCCTGCCCAACAGAGGCCAAAGGATCTCACTCAGCACCTCCAGTCTCAAACAGGTGCCCAGCACGGGAGAATCACGGGATGGATCTTTTCGGCACAGAAGTCCAGGCTTGATGGGGACAGCAAATCCCCCGTGTCCCTCGGTAAGTCATTCTGCTGGGTAACTACCCTCCTGATTAAAACGTGGTCTCAGGCTTGCATTTATGTAGCTTCAGCTCCCAGCCTTTGCAACTGGGCATCAAGGCAGGCTAGAAGCTAATGCAGAAGCGGCAAGCTAGATGCTAGGGCCTGGCACCTGTTTGGCAGCCAGAGAATGGGTCTTGCGCTTTGGGGAAGGGCAGGGGCGCCGTGACCCGGAGCATTGTGCAACGTGGGACATGGGTGGGGAAGAATGCCTTCCTCTTCCCTGCAGGCCTGGCACTCCCACCCCACAGCCTGACATTCAGCCCTCGGTGCAAGCGTGCGTAATTACAGGTGCTATTTTGGATCGCGCCGCCCTCCGCCCTTTGCTGGTGGCTCCTGCCGGGGTAAGCAATGCAGGGCCGGAGGTGCAGCCTGCAGGAGGAAAGCCTGATTGTCAAGTGAGTTTGACTTTGGGAGGAGGTCACGGCAATGATGCAAGGAGCAAGGCTTGGGGAACCCGCACGTTCTGCTGGGGGGCTGGGCCAGGCGACAGCCCCTCTAGGCTGCTTCTAGGCTCGCTCAGGCCACAGATCCGAATGGTGAGGATCCATGTCAGTGGTTCATGAGGCTCTGCTTTTGCACACGGATATGTGCATCCAGGCACACGCATGCACACAGAGTCAGGAAGCTAAACCTGATCATCGAATCATTAGAAAATGAGGGTTGGAAGGGACCTCAGGAGGTCACATCTAGTCCAATGCCCTGCTCCAAGCAGGACCAGCCCCAACTACATCATCCCAGCCAAGGCTTGATCTAGCCGGGTCTTATAAACCTCCAAGGATGGAGAATCCACCGCTTCTCTGGGTAACCCCTTCCAGTGCTTCACCACCTTCCTCATGAGAACATTTGCTCTAATACCCAACCTCAACTTCCCTTGCTGCAACTGGAGCCCATTGCTCCTTCTGTCGTCTGTCCCCACTGAGACCAGCCCAGCTCCATCCTCTGCGTAACCCCTCTGCAGGGAGCTGTAGGCTGCTATTCAATCCCCACCTCGGTCTCCTCTTCTCCAGACTAAATAAGTCCAGTTCCCTCTGCCTCTCCTCACCACTCATGGGCCCCAGCTCCCAAATTATTTTTGCTGCCCACCACTGGACTCTTTCCAATTTGTCCACATCCTTTCTGTAGCGGAGGGCCCAAAACTGGACACAGTGCTCCAGATGTGGCCTCCCCAGTGCAGAACAGAGGGGAAGAATCACTGCCCTCGATCTGCCGGCAACGCTCCTACCGATGCAGCCCAGGATGCCAGTAGCCTTCTTGGCAACAAGGGCACACGGCTGGCTCCTGCTCAGCTTCTTGTCCCCTGCCACCCCCAGGTCCTTTCCTGCAGAGCTGCTGCCCAGCCAGTCACCCCCAGCCTGCATGGGATTATTCTGTTTTAAATTGCAGGACTTTGCACTTCCCCTTATTGAACCTCATGAGATTTCTGGTAGCCCAATCCTCCAATTTGTCGGGGTCACTGTGAATCCTAGCCCTGCCCTCTTGCCCATCTACTGCTCCCCCCAGCTTGGTGTCATGTGCAGACTTGCTGAGGGTGCACTGCATGCCATCTTCCAGGCTGCTGATGAAGACATGGAACAAAACCGGCCCCGGCACCGACCCCTGGGGCACCCCACTTGATACCGGCTGCCAACCAGACATCGAGCCATTGGTGACCACCCTCTGAGCCGGGCGACCTAACTGGTTTTCTGTCTGCCTTACAGTCCATTCATCCAACCCGCGCTTCCTTCATCCCAAACTACCGGAGCCTGCTGGGTTACACACCTGAGCAGAAAACCTCCCTAGGAGATGGGTGGAGAAGGCTCCTGCTATCAGCCCTCCACAGCCTGGAGCCTGCAGGTTAAAGGCGAAGGGGGCTCCATGCCGGGGAAAGCTGTCCCCTGGGCTCAGATGGAAGAAAGGGGCTGCCTGTCGGGATGCTCCCCGCAGCGGATCCGGTTGGTAGTAAACAAACCAGAGTGGCTGTAACTGGATCCTCCCGCCCGGCAGGGCAGTAGCAGGGAGGCCTCCTGTGGGAGGGTAGAATTACAGGCAAGAGGAGCGGCTACCAAAGGGGCTGCCAGGCAAATAAAAGGGAACTGCCGAAAGCAGGCTGGTGGGGCTGGCGGACCCCCTCCTCCCACCCACACACCCGGTATAACGTGCTCAGAAGGCAGATTGGGCCTGCGGCATCCTCCCTGCAGCGGGGATGATCTGGCCAAAGCATCTGGGGTTTCACTTCTTGTGCAGCACGCAGAGGGGAAACTGAGGCACAGGTTGGCTGCCTTGCTGAGAGGTTGGGCCCTGGGTTTGCCTGGGGTGGTTTGGATAAGGATGATCCTGCCTCAGGCAGGGAGTGGACTAGATGTGACCCCCGGAGATCCCTTCCAGCCCCACTTCTCTGCGAGTCTATGAGGAGTCCCACCCCGATGTCCTGCCCTAGGAAGGGATCAGATTTGGGAGGGCTTGGCAGACAGAGCTCCTGGAGGCCGCGTCCACAAGGACAGCGATTCCAGCAGGGGCTAGTGCCCCTTCCTGTGCCCGACGACATCCGGCAGAGAGAGACAACCCCTCAGTGAGACTGATGTCACCAATATGATGGCACCAAAAAGCAAAGCAATGTGGCATCCCCAAGGGGACCAGAGACTGATGCCACTGGTAGCCAAGGGGTACATGACTCCGAGCGATCGCAGGGGTGCTGGAGCTGCCCACTGTCTCCTCTGCAGCCGTGGCTGCACTGGGATTTGCTAGCGTCATTGCCCCGTTGTGCTGGGCACTGCCCAGTTGCCTGGGAAAAGGCAGCGCCTTCCCCAAAAACCACAGACAAGGCGGGACTGGTGTTGCTGTATTACAGAGCCCAGAAAATCCCCACGAGCCCCTGCTCTCTCCGCAGTACCACACGGCAGCCTGGGGACCCACTGCCTTCCAGCCAGCACCAAATCCCTGACGTCCCTGGCACCTGATGACCTCTCCATGCCACTGCCGGAGGCTTTTCCTTCTCCCTGTAATGGCTTGGGCTCAGAGCAGCCCTGCCAGTGCCCTGGGCTGGAGAGTTCAGCCCGGTGAGGCCGTGTCTGAGCTCTCCAGTGGCTGCAGAGGGCCTTAACGGCATTGTACAGACCTGTTCCCTGCTCGCTCTGTGCAGCAGGATGAGGGCCAGGCTCCAGGGCTGGGCAGTGGCTCCCGCGTGCTGGGGTCAAAGTGACGCACTGAGTGGCAGGGGCTGAGGTTTCAACCCGTGCCTCAGTTTCCCTTCACCGTCACATGCAAGAGAAGGGAGCCCAGGCTTTGTCGGCGGGGGCTGAGAGGGGGAAAGGTGCAGGATCCGGGCCTGACATTGCAAGGGCCCCATCATCATCTCCAGTCTGTTCTCCACGTGCAGCCCTGGGGTCCCGGTTTGGTGAGGACCGGGTGCCACCTAGCGGAGAGAGGGGCAAAGGCTGCATGGGGACCTCTGAGCACCCAGGCCGGGACCCAGAGCTGGCAGCCCAGCTCGGCCTGAGGCTTAAAACGGAGAGCTGGGAGCCTGCTTGTCCAGAGGGGCCTTGGAGCAGTTTTAGCCTGGAAGAGGCAGAACGGCTGGGGCAGCTGATGGGGACTCCCAGGACTCCTGGTTTTTCCCTAGCTGCAAGCAGCACGTCCGAGCGGTCAGCAGCCAGGCTGATCCAGGGCTGCTGGGGTCCAGTCCCTGCTCTGACAGGGAGCAGGGTTCAGTGGCTAAAGCAGAGGGGCTGGGAATCACCAGTGGGTGCAGACGCTTCTGTGCCCCCCTCTAGCGCCAAACCTGCAGCCAGGATGGACTCACCCTCGCTACCAGCCCTCGGCTTAGCCTGAAAGTCCCCCATTCACAGCAGTATCACGGAGAATCCACGGTCCACCTCTCAGCGCCCCAGAGCCAGGCCTTCCCTTGCTCCCACCGGCGTGGTCGAGCTGCCCTCCAGCTGGGAGAGCCAGGACCCTGCCTGAGCTCCTGGAAATCACCAAACCAAGCAAAACGCCAGAGCAATGAGACGTGCACGGCTCCCTTAGCGGCAGCCAGATGGGAAAGGACGGGCAGAATCGAGACTGGCTCCAGCCCAGCCGCTGCCAACCTTCACGATCCAGGGGCAAGGCCCCCTTGGAGACCAATGCCCGCACGGTGGTGGGGTCCCTCGGGGGCAGGAGAGGTGGCTGGAAGTGCTCCTCTGGAGCTGGGGTCGGGCCACGTCACCGGACATCAAACAAGGGTCTAATGAGCATCTTGCTAACGAGTCTCCCTTGTGGCTGGCCTGAGAGCAGGGATTGTGGGGCGAGTCCAACGACCAACTCCCCCTTGCTTAAATGTACACTTTTAAGCCAACCTCCTCATGCAGTTGCCACGTCTCAAGGCACCGTGGGAACAGGGGAGGGTGTGCGGGGACTGGGGATAATCTGGGGCTCGGTGTGGGGTGGGGGATGCAGGATCCTGAGAAAGAGCAGGGGGGGGCAGCATCGGTGCTGGGGTCGATCTGCTCACAAGTCAGTCTCCTCGCCCGCCTACCTGCCAGTCCTGGAGGGCGCGGAAACAATGCTGCCAGTGCCAGGTGCCACCCCGAGCTGCCACCACTGCTGCCCACGCTACGTGGGAGATAGCCAGAGGCGAGGGATGCTACTGGTCACCACGGTACCAAGCAGCCCTTGTTGCTAGGCAACCCAGCACTGGCAGTTCTGTCTCCTAGGCAATGCTAGTGCCAACTGCCCAGTGCCCCCTGCCCGCCTGGGGAGTGTGTGGGGGGGGGCAGCAACAGCACCCCAGCAGCATGAGAGGAAAAAGTGCAAGGCGGGGGAAGGCCAGAGCCCCCAGGGATGCTGGGCTCAGAGGGCTTTGACCATGTCTCCAATGAGCAAAGGTTTGGTGCAAGAGGCCACCGGCCCTTCCTCTCCCACCCCAGTCCAAGCAGAGCTGGTTCCCAGGTGCGCTCCAGTGATGGCTCCAGCCAGAGATGGGCCAGGGAGTGTTCAGGGATCACTTTGAGCCCAGTGCACGAAAGGGAGGGCTGGATGCACGTGACCTCACTCACTCCCCGATCACCTGGACTCGCCATCTCCCAGGAGACACCAGCATGCCTGTAGTTAGGAGATGGCAAGTCCAGCCAGTCTGGTGGCACTACACCTTGGGACTTACGCTGCCGGGGCTGTTGCTTAACTGAGACCTGCTCAGGCAAAACGGCCTGTTACAGCCCTGCCGCGTGGCTTTGGGTGGATGACTCCAGGGCTCCTTCACCAGACACTGCTGCTGTTTGCAAGCATTGATTTCTATCCCAGATGCCCACCCTGCTTGTGATGCACCAGCTGCTCCCAGGACCTGGTTCAAAATCCCCACGTCCCCTCACCTAGCACCTCCCACGGGAGGCAGGCGGCTTCTCAGTGTTTTGCCACCCACGAGGCCTGAGCCACGTTCTACGCATGCCTCAGAGCTTGGCCCTTTATTATCTGAAGGCCGTCTTCCACCAACCTGACAAGTGCGGGAGAATGGATAGCGGCAGTCACGCATCACAGCCCACATGTCGCCGTGAGCAGCGTGAACCCGCCTCTCTGAAATCCCGTCCACGTCCAGACAGCACGAGCTTTGTTCGGTCAAACTGCATTAAACCCGCACAATGAGCTGTTTAGTGGCAGTAGCTTCCAGTGAAAGTGCTCTCCGGGAAGCGAGAAGAATAACCTGGAACGAGCCCATGGGGAGGGGGGTTCAAGGCAGCATAAACAAATCCATTCCTACATTGCTGCAGGGGGTAGTTTTTTTCCTGTGCTACCGTCACGGGCTGTTTTGCTGGATTTGGCCTGTGTCCCTGGTATACACACCAAGCACTGATAGCTCCCTCATTGTCCCCCTTTGCTTGAAACCGCTGTAAGCCATCACCAGCTCTTCTCTCCCCATCCTTGCATGACTTCAAATTATCCTATTTAATATGTTCTTCCTATGGATCGGTGTCCTGATGTATTTAAAAAAACCAAAAAAACCCCACATCCAGCACCAAGAACTCTCCCCCGAATCAGTGCCAGGGGATGGGGACAGGCTGTCCCAGCAGCGCAGTGCTAATGGCTTCAATCACTTCTTGGAGGTTCTTGTCTTGAGCCATTGGCAGGAGTTGCCTCGCTGCATGGGAGGCAGACTAGCGACATGCTCTGCACTCCTCTGTGCTGTCAAAGGGGAAATTCCTCACTTCAGCTCCCGGACCCAAGCTGACACCAACCCAATAGATCCAGCCCGTGCATCCATGTCGGCTTTCATCTGAGAGGAGCCCAGCTGTGGTTGCTCCTCCTCGGCGTGGGTAGCTGTTGTTTGCAGGTGCAGTCAAGCACCGTGCAAATCTCCCCCATGCACCCCGGGAGCTCCCGCATGGGGCCAGGTTTCGGCTCCAAACACCGCTCCTAATTTTTCCCTTTAATTCCCGTGAGCTCCCAGCACCGGGCATTGTTCCTGAATCACCCTGCACACAACACAGTTGCAACTGCCTCTGCTTAGCCCCAGCTGGGCTCCTGCAGTCCTCCTGTGCCCAAAAAGCCAAGCCATTTAAAGGTACCATTCCCAATGCCCTACAACTGTGGACCAAAGAAGGTGGGAGGTTTCACCTCCTTCCTGTCTCTTGCAGTTTGCTTACAAGCCAGGCCAATCTCCTGCTCTCAGCTGCACCCTGTCTGGGCAGGAATCAGCTCCCTGACAACACGGAGGGACTCGTGTGTGATAAGCAGAGGAGACTTGGAGGTTCCCGGAACAGATGGGAAGCGACACGGGCCCACAGGCAGCAGCAGATTTGGCTTTATTCTACTTACAAAGAAGCAGCAGGTTCTTGGTGGGGGCTTGGATCAAAGCTGCCGTGGGTGTTTGCATGGGCTGCCTCTGCAGAGGCACCTCATGGTACCTCCTTTGCACCAGGGAAGCAGAGCTTCACCCGCCCCCCCTTCTTTGGGCTGAATGGGTAGCAGGTGTCATGACTAGGGGCAGACTCAGCCCCCCTTGCCCCCAACCACCCCTGGAACAAAAGCAGCCTCCCTCCCCTGCAGAGGGGAGGCATGGAGAGCATTGCACAGAGGCCTGTGACAGCTGAGCTGCTGCAGACCTGGGGCACTCCCTGCCTCGGCAGGCCCGGCTGGGATAACTGGGTCAAGTGCCTTCAGAGCCACGATCACCATAGCTGGCTGCCTTAGAGCTGCTGCAAGCCATGGCCCATCAGGATCCCAGCACCAAGAGAGGCCAATATCGGATGCTTCTGAGGATGGTACCCAGCAGAAACACCCTGGAGAGAGTGGGTCTAGTCTCTGCTCTGCCACTGATCCCCCGTGTGGCCTCGGCCAAGTCCCTTAGCCCCATCCAATGGGGAGAACCATTCCCTCCCTGATGCGGGGGTGGGGCACGAGAGGCGGAAGGAACTGGGCTTATTTAGTCTAGAGAAGAGACGACTGAGAGGGGAATTAATAGCAGCCTTCAACTCCCTGAAAAGAGATTTGAAAGAGGATGGAGCTGGACTGCTGTCAGTGGGGGCAGACGACAGGACAAGGAGCAATGGGCTCAAGCTGCAGCAAGGGAAGTTGAGGTTGGCTATTAGGAAAAAAATTCTCACGAGAAGGGTGTAAAACACTGGAGCAGACTCCCCAGAGATGTGGTGGACTCTCCATCCTTGGAGGTTTTCAAGACCCAGGTAGACAAAGCCCTGGCTGGGAGGATGTAGTTGGGGCTGGTCCTGCTTGGAGCAGGGGGCTGGACTGGATGTGACCCCCTGAGGTCCCTTCAACCCTCATTTTCTACAGTTCTGCGATGCAGAGGTGGTGTCAGGAGGATGAGTGCTCTAAAGAGAAGAGGCTGAGGGTCCTTCATCTCCCTTTCCCCAGGCTCAGCTTTCCCTGCGGAGCCCCAGTCCTAGTGCCCGTGCTGCGGTAGACATGGAGGGAGGCATCTGGGCTTTTCCTGCCCTCAAGCAAAAGTGCCTCTCATGAGCCAGGATGGGAAGTGGCACATAGCCGTGTCAGGACAGGAGCTGCTGTCTGCAGCAGGGATGGGGACATCGCGATGAGCAGTTTTTCCCCTGGGGCTGGGGTGCAGAGGGGCTCAGATGGTTTGTAGCAGTGGGAGAGACCTGTGGTGCGAATCCCAAGGCCCAGAAGGGTTGCTCCCCCTCTGAGCTTGTGCCAGGCGCTGGACGGTGCAGCCTCTTTCAGAAAAGCAGACGTCCTGGCACGGCGGTGGCTAGATGACCCGGGCAGCGGCTAGCAGAGGTGGTCGGCCTGGGTGAGCCTGCTCATCTCACCCTCGGCACGGAGCGTTCTCCGCTTCCTGCCCTCACCTGGCACAGAGCGTAGCTCTGGGTCACGCCAGCAACCGCTGCCTCCCCACCCCAGAAGTGGCTGCAGGACTGGGGTGGACAAGACAGACCATGGGGCACATGGGGGGGTGGGGTTCAGGTCCCTTCTCCCACCCCCTGCTCAGGGCACCTCCACCCGCTACTTGCCGGAGGAGACAAAGTGCATCTCGGTGTTGACGTTGGCGCTGCCCGCGCCGGTGCCGCCCACCCGCTGCTTGAAGGCAAAGGGGAAGACTTTCCTGAAGGCCTTCCTGAAGTTGGCGCCCATGAAGGCATAGACGAGGGGGTTGACCGAGGAGTTGGCGTAGGACATGCAGTGGGCCCAGATCTTCACCTTGTAGGTGTAGTAGTTGCGCTGGAAGCCAGGCCCGAAGGCCTGCAGGAGGATGAGGAACTGCATGGGCCCCCAGCACATGGTGAAGAGCACCACGATGATGGCCACCATGCGGGAGATCCGGGCGCGCAAGGCCTCCGAGCGCTCTGCCAGCTGCTGCACCTGCAATCGGCCAGACGCCGGGGGTTGGCAGGGTGGGAGGAGGGAGCCGGTCACAGGTGGGGAGGCGTGCAAAGGTGTGCATGCATAAAGGGGAGCGTGGGTAACAGGGTAGCAGGCAGTGGGGACTGGCCTGATGCGTGCTGGGCGTGGAGGCAGGAGTCTCTCCTGATGGGGCTGGCTCAGCCTTGTACAGGGTGAGTTACATGTGCATCATCTGTGTATGTGTCCCCATGCCATCAGTGCCGAAGATGCATGCAGGATGCAATGTGGGCACCCAGGGTGTGTGGGCACGGGCCTTATGTACACGCATACAGCATGGAGACGTGTGCGTGCCAGGGATGTGCGGGCATAGGTCTTGTGTATGGGAGGCAGTGTGTGCACCAGGAGGTGTGTGGGCACGGTTCTTGTGCACCTGCACGTAGGCACGTGTGTGCACCAGGGAGGCACAGGCATGGGTCCTGTAGCATGGAGATACATGCATGCGCGCCCATGTCCTTGTGTCTTGATGGGGAAGACCAGTCTGGCTCCATGGCCAAGAAGCCGGAAGCACCATCAGCTCCAGCTGCCGCCGCTGGAAGCACGCAGCTCTCTGGATGTCATGCGGGCCCGCGCAGGGGCAGGAGGCTGGTACCTGGTAGCCATTCTCAGCCGGCTCCACGGCAGGACGCCCCATCTGATAGAGCATGGCGGTGTAGCAGATGCAGATGGTCAGCAGAGGCAGCAGGTACACAGCCAGGAAGTTGTAGAGGATGAAGGCCTTCTCGTGAGCCACCGAGGGGAAGGACTCGCTGCAGTAGGTCTGGGGCCCGAACCAGTAGCCCTCCGTCAGCCGGTGGTACGTCAGCACCGGGACGGAGACGACGAAGGAACCTGTGAGGGGCGGCAGGTGCCAGAGCCAGCGACCAGCGCCGGGCTGGTTAGGAGAGGGTTAAGAGGCAGGGGCAAGGGTAGGAGGGGAGGGTTACCAGGTTGGCAGGAGGGCGCTAGCAGAATCAGGAGCACAGGTCAGGGCCAGGGGATGGGAACTGGGACCACAGCCAAGGACACGCAGACGCGTGGAAGGCACCGGGTTCAAGGACTCCCAGCTGCAATGCGAGGCCGGCCCCAGGCCAGGGGGTGGGGGTCAGCTCACCGCTCCAGATGCCCAGGCTGACGGCGACGGCGACGCGGGGGGTGCGCTGGCGCAGGGAGCGCAGTGGGAACACGGTCACGTACCAGCGGTCCACGCTCATGGCCGTCAGCGTCATGCAGGTGGCCTGCACGGAGACCTGGGGGAGGAGGTGGGCATGGGGCATGGCCGGACCACGTCCCCGCTGGGTTTGGATCAGCGCGTGGAGCAGGGAGGCCCTTGGGGAGCTGTAGCTATAGGGAAATGAAAGCCATCATCCACTGCAGCTGAGATGGTCTGAAAGCACAGACCCCATGAGCCCTTCTCCTTAAATGACTTGTCCTCCCTCCTTCCCCTTGGCCTGAGCTCCGGGGTGCAGGCAGGACTCTGGGAATCAGCTCTTGGCAGCTGATCTCTGTCTAGGAAGGTGATGGGAGAGCCCAGATCCAGGCAGATCCAGGCTTTGCCCACCTGCTCACTGCAGTAGATCAGGGACCCACGCAGCCACTGCCAGGTCCCATCTGCGACGTGGGGAAGATATTTCCCCTCCAGGCCTGGACCTTGAGCCCAGCCTGAATGGAGAGCAATGGGGAGCCTGCTCCCAACACCAGGTGTTTGGTGCAATGAGTTTGGTGGCTCTCAGTCCTCTTTCTGTGGCTGCACTGCCCCTGAAGCCAGAGCAGCTAATGCAGACGGGGTGCAGCACCCCCCCACTCTAGTGAGGATCCAGTGGCATCCTCAGCGGGGAAGCTGACGGTCTCAACCTGCCTCTGTCCGGGGCCGGGGGAGCCCGGGGCAGACCCCTCACCTGCTGGATGTAGTTAATGAACTTGCACATGAACTCCCCGAAGATCCAGCTGGGCAGCGGGTACAGCATGGCAGTGAAGGGCACGCAGCAGACCAGGAAGATGATGTCGGTGGCGGCCAGGTTGGCTGCAAAGGAAGGTGGAGGTGGGGGGGTGAAGGTTAGCACGAGCTCCCAGGATGCAGGTTGAAGGCTGGGGACCAGTGAACAGGCCCAGCCAGAGTGCCCGAGCCACTCTGCGTGCATGCTTTTGGGCTTACTCACCCAGGGAGGGAAAAAAAGAAGAGCCAGGATGAGTCACTATTTAATAATGGAGCCTCGGAAGCCAAAATATGCTCACTTGCCAGGCATCTGCCCCTCCTTTCTCTCCCCATCCCCATGGAGCCTCAGCATGGCTAAGGAGCAGCAACTGGGCTCCCCAGGCAGAAGGCACGGAGAGGGTGCCGAGCGCCCTGTGGGCATTGCTCAGCTGCTAACAGGATCAGATCCAGAGAGAAGACAGCGCCTGGCATAGGACACGCCTGGCACAGAGAGTTTCTAGCAACTGCGTGAAGAAGCTGGGAGGCTGCGGGCTCCCGCCCTGGGGCTGGAGCCAGGCACTTCCAAGGGCCAAACTTGGCTCTCACGTTTGACTCCCTGGGCAGCATCGGACCAGTCACCCTAACCCTAACCCTGCGCCTGTTTCCCCATCTGTACAAAGGGGATTGGCTCCACTTTCCTCCTCCGGCAGGATGGAGAACTAGGTGGGTGCAGCCATTTGCTTCCTCAACCTGATGAAGGGCGCTTGTGCCCACAAGCTCGCTAAGAAGAATTTTTCCAACTATTTGAGTTGGCCTAAGAAAAGATATCAGATGTACCCAAAGACCCTGTCTGCCTGTGCTCTGTTAATGAGCTCGTTAGCACTGGAGCAGAGCAGAGAGGGAAGGCAAAGGGGGCACAGAATCCACCCTCCCCCATACCAGTCCCTGCCCTCTCCCCCAGCAGAAAATGGGAGATTTCCCTGCCCTCCACTTTCCTCCCTGGGTTGCCTTATCCTCAGCTCAATCCATCAGGCTACCTACTTCTGAAAGCTCAATGTGGCTTTTCCAGTTTCCCCCCTGGGACTAATCCCTAGTAAATGGCTGAGAATGGAGGGCGCCGGGGGGGGGGG